GCACCTGCAGCGCTTCTGCGAGCGGAGAAAAACATAATAAAGCTAGGCTATATATATATATATATAAAGAATAAATAGGCCTATACGAGATATATATCTTTACTTAAATAATAAATTAAGAAAATGAAAGAAAAACTGTAAAAAGTGGCCTAGTATGCAGAGTTTCGGTTCATTTTTGTGCTGCGCGAAAGGACTTCCACTGTTAGAAAGAAACAATTCAAGTGATTGATTGCGCCGGCGCCGCATGCGTGCACACAGTTAAGCTTTGCTATCTTGACAATGCAGCCTGTTCATTATCATAATAAAATACTATTTCTGGATGAAATAATAAAATGCGACTTATACGCGACTTATGCTTTTTTTTCTCCAAAAAGCTAAAAATATTTATACGCGTAGCATATTTTAACCATGCAGCAAATCTTTTTAAATATTTTGATAAATTACTGGAAAAAAAATAAATAAAATAAATGACTTTTTAAACCGTTTAACTGATTGTAGTAATCGGTCAAAATTCTTACCGTCGGTTAAATTACATTCAATTAAATATAGTTTGAATTATATAACAAAGTATCAAAACAAGTAGCTTTTTTCCCCGTATCGAAAAGAAAATGAATAGAAATATTTATTTGTAAAGAACAATAGTAAGAATTGTATTAGTAATAATGATACAACAATCGTGGTACTGAAGTGGTCTTTCATTTGAAAGAAATATAGCACAGCTACACTTCTTAATCAATTACTTTTCAAAAAATAAAAATTGTTCATTATCAAACGTAAAAACATCTTTCTTTTACTGTTAGATGTGCAAATAGCCGAGCATGAGCCCTGGGTTTGTAAGCCTGTATGATATTATGGAATCCGTCCGTCAGCGAGTCTTGAGCACGAGTACGAACGGTCACGGAGCTCTTGAGGCGGTTGTACGCCTCGTGGTTTTATCCTGTCTTATCTGTCTCAGGTGAGGCATGGGCTTTCAGACCGTATGTCAGCAGTCCTGCCACGTACGGATGTGGAAAACACTTTGAGGATGGCTGTTCTGACCTCCCTGCCTGGGATTGTCAAAAGTTTCCAGTGTCGCGACACGATTAAACACGAACCGCTGTCAACAGCCAAGGAATGAGTTGCTGGCAGAGTCGAGAAAGCCTGCTTCACTTTTGCTGACAACACAAGAATGAACAGGATCTTATTGGCTGACAATTGGCTATTGGCTATTATTAGCGTATTAGCGTTGTTTCAAAGGCAGCATTTTAATGGTTTTGCACATCTCTATTTTCTAGAAGGAACAGGAAAAGGAGAATGATATGCAAAATCAATGAGCTACAATGTGAAGCCACAATCTGAAGTGCCCCTTCACATTAAACATGGAAAATCAGCAACAGTAATATGACAAGTGACACCACTCTTCAATTAGCAAAAAAAAAAAAAAAT